GGTTATTTGGTGAAAGCTAATAGCGAGGGCCAGCCGGGACCGCTGACATATAACCGCACTTTGACAGATGGAGCGAACATGTTTGCAAGAGCTTTGAAACCCCATGGCGGGGTAGTCATGTTTCGCGCTTTTGTATACGACCACAATCTCAGCCCGGCAAATTGGTACGCGGACCGGGCGAATGCACAACTCGAGTTCTTCCAGCATCTCGATGGAAAGTTTGATGAGAATGTCGTTGTGCAGATCAAATTCGGGCCTATCGACTTCCAAGTCCGCGAGCCGCCCTCCCCGTTGTTTGCATCACTACACCACACTAGCACAGCAATTGAGCTCCAGATCACACCCGAGTACTTGGGTCAAAACTGCCACTTGGTGTATCTCGCACCTCAATGGAAGGAAATTCTAGACTTTGACATGAGAGCCGACAGCATTGAATCAAAAGTTAAGGACATTGTCAATGGAAAGCGTTTCAAACGACCACTGGGTGGATATGCTGGCGTCTCTGGCGTTGGCTCCAACACGACATGGCTGGGAAGCCATCTTGCCATGTCGAACCTGTATGCCTTTGGACGACTAGCCTGGGATGCGTCTAGCGGCTCAGAGACGATTCTTCAGGACTGGATTCGACTGACATTTGGGTTCGACCAGGACGTTCTGGACACCGTCACAGACATGTCTATGAAGTCGTGGCCTGCATATGAGAACTACAGTGGCAACCTGGGTATCCAGACTCTGACGGATATTCTCTACACCCACTACGGGCCGAACCCAGCTTCTCAAGATGGCAATGGTTGGGGTCAATGGACGCGCGCTGACGGCTTGGGCATTGGCATGGACCGCACGGTACGAAATGGTACTAAGAATGCCGGACAGTACCCGCCCGAGATTGCACGGATATGGGAAAACATTGAGCTGACTCCGGATAATCTTTTGCTTTGGTTCCACCATGTGCCATATACACATCGGTTAAAGTCCAACAAGACGGTTATTCAACACTTCTACGACGCGCATTATGAGGGAGCGCAGACGGCGCAGGAGTTTGTCCGCCAATGGGAGTCTCTGGAGGGTAAGATTGACAAGGAGCGGTTCGAGCAAGTCTTGTTCAGACAGACGTATCAAGCTGGACATGCGCTCGTGTGGCGCGACGCCATCAACCAATTCTACTCGAACCTGTCGCGGATACCAGACGAGGCCAAGCGAGTGGGCAATCACCCGTACCGAATTGAGGCTGAGAGCATGACGCTACAGAACTACAAGTCGGTCGCAGTGAAGCCATTTGAGACGGCGTCTGGATTCAAAGGCATTGTAACGACGTCGAATGGGGCGACTGGTGTAGCGAAAGCCAAGGTGCCATTCGCGAGCGGGAGGTACAATGTGGCGGTTAACTACTGGGACGTGATTGGCGGCAGGGCAAAGTATCAGCTTAGTCTGGGGAACCGGACCATAGGATTGTGGACGGGCGACCTGGAGGACAGGCTGGGCCACGAGCCATCCGCGTATCTCGATGGGCATTCAGCGACGAGGATCACGTTCCGGAACGTGTGGGTGGAGCGGGGAGAGGAGGTGCGCATCACTGGACAGGCGAACGGAGCCGAGGCAGCGCCTGTCGACTATGTTTCCTTTTTGCCATCGGGGATTGTTGACTGATGAGAGGACTGGGACAGGGAGACAGACAGGGAGCAGTAGGATAGATAATGGCAGATTAATGAATTTGGTCGCAAACGCACCGAGATCGCATACACGGGGGCCGTCGGAAGGCCTTGGCGTCATTTCCCCTGCAGGGATGCCCCGTGCGCTTCCCGCCGCGCTAGACTACTTGGGGCGTCGCATCCCCTTTTCCCTCGTTCGCCGACAAGGACAGACAGCCCACGACAATCGCCGCCGTTGGTGGTTTGGCGACGGCCCAAGGCGCACACGACATGCGTCCGTAGATGCCTGCATGTTGCCTTAGTGACTATCACTGTAACACTTACGCTGCGAGGGAAAAAGCAACACCCCCAGCTTGTGTGTGACGCCCACCCCGACCGCCCAGCGCCGCAAACGTCTTTGATAAACACTGGGCTGAGGCGCTTCGCCGTCACACCTCTCTCCCCTTTCCTTTCCCCTCGCCCTCCAAGCCCACCTTAGGCCACCGAGTATCCGGCGGGCACGCAAAAGCCTGGGATCCGTGCCGTACGCCGTTGCTGCACAATGTGACAAGCCCTCCGCCTCGACCAAGTCTTTCCAACTCAATAGCAGCGCCCGCTGCCATTCTTCCAAAAAAAAAGTCTTTCCGGCCTGCACCAGCAATCCCTCGGTGCCTTGTCTATCGCACTTGCAGCCTCGCCATAGCACCGCGAGTTGATGGCGCGCCCGAGTACCGTCGCCGCTCGATGCGCAGCGCTAGGGACATCGATCGCCCAGGTTAGAACTGCTTCGCATGTTCATCATCCCACCCCTTGCGCTAATATCCGATCCAGATCATCCCGGACATCAGCAGTTTTGCGCGCAAAGTCCGCGATGCCAGACATGATCTCAATGCCATCAACACCAATTTGATCATTATCAAAACAGGCCTAGGCATTGCCCAGGATGACTTTTCGACAAAGGCCGCCGGGCTACCCCAATCTCTTGTTGACGCAGTAACACGCGTCATCGATTCTTGCGACGACACCAGTGATCGTCTCCAAAAGGCCTTTCTCAAACTCTCTTGCAGCGCAAACCCAAAGGACGATTGGCGGGACCTTCGAGACGGGCCTTTGGTTAACCTTCGTTACGATCTGGACGCATCAAAAGTCATCCTGGAGCTGTCTCTGGACTATCTCGCCCTGTAAGTGCTGCCATTCCCCGTGAGAGTTCCCAATGCCGAGGTTGCTTACGACCCACAGATTTGGTCAGCAAGATACCCTGGACGCTCTGCTCCAGAATTATGTCAGCGACTTGATCACGCACAGCGATGATCTCTTGAAGCGAACAGATACAGATGAGATTCATGTTAACCAAACAGCACGGGAAACACTTTCTGCGCTACTTCAGGCTGTTCGCTTACTCCGGTCATGTATTACGGCCGTGTCAAAAGAAGGAACCCCAACGACAACAACGCAACCAGCAAAGAGATCAGTAATCCCGCGGCCAGATTCGCTAGAACCCGTTCTGGGCGAAACCTCTCGAAGCGGAAGGAAGAGTCCTAGTGGTAGAAAGAGTCCGAGTGCCCAGAGTTCGTCCCATGCAAGCATGAATGATAGTGGCATTGGTACATGGCTAGCCAATGTCCCGTCTTTTGAAGATGCGCAACCCCTCTCGTATTCTAACATTGAGCAATCGTCAGTGTTGCGTCTTGTAGTGCCTTCTCTACAGGAGCCAACTACCCCATCACGCGGTACCTTTTACACTGAAGACTGCGCCTCCTCCGCCCAAACCCTCGTGGCACCAGAATCGCGACTGAAGAAATCATACAGCTGGTGTACCGACCTATCAGGGAAGGCAAGCACCCGGTTGCAGCTCGCATCAAGCTATGCATCGCGACATGCATCAAAATATGCGTCCATTGTTTCTGGCTCAGATGTATCAATCATCCATAAGAAGATCACCTCAGACCGAATAGCCGTTACAAAAGGCAAAAGAAAAGAGCTGGAGCCCCGCCAGAGGGAGGCCGTTGACCGCATCCTGGCAAACATACCTGCAGAAGCAACAGCTGCTGAAGTAGAAAGAGTCATTTGGGAAGGAGCGACCCCAATGGCACCGCATCCCGAGTTTGGATTCTTCTTCATGAGAGCAGCCTACGAAATGTCCACGGAAATATTGCCTCTTCTAATGGAGTTTGGAGCAGATCTCACTCGGAAAAACGTCGCACCAACGTCATACTATACTGCTGTGCATGCCGCCACATTAGGATGTCAACTCGATACAGTACGATACCTCGCTTCCCAGGGCCATTCACTCGACACGCCCGACTTTCACGGCGAAACTCCCCTTCACCTCGCTCTCCGGACGCCTGGAGCGTCGGCAATAGCAAAGTACTTGGTAGAAGCCGGTGTAGATGTCAACTCGGAATCAAGAGCTGGACAAACGCCGCTACAGGTAGCTCTCAAATCAGCTGGACTGGAACCTCGAGACCGAAGCGTGTTGATTGCGCTACTAATTGCACATGGAGCCGAGGGTGAGGCAGAGGTCAAGAGAGTAATGGAGTGCAGGAGGGGTAACGAGAAGGGGAAAAGCGTCCTCGGGCTAACTTGACTTTGAACAGGTGGTCCGTGATCGGGTCTCGCATAATTTTTTCTTGTGTAATGTTCGTCATGCGACTGTGTCGCCCCAAACTAAATAGCATCCTGGTCGCATCTTGCTTGGATGGGCTTGGCATTTTTGGTTATACATTGGTTTTATTAGGCTAGCGAGGGGCAAACATGGACAGATACCCAATAACCTTTATTGCACTATCGCTGTTGGCATGTTCGCAGAACTCAGGAGCGATACCTGGACCAAGCCACGCCTGTATTTTAGAAGCGGCTATGGTTATGCTGGCGGCAATAAAATTGGCTTGGAACCCTGATTTTTAATCTTATTTTCTCTTAGACTGTATAGAAATTCAACCAAAAGCTCCGCGATTATGAGTCGTTTCCGCACAAGGTCCTACAAAAAAGAAAAAACACAGTAAATTGGCAGTGGAAAAGCATTACTCGTGAGTATGTGCAATGGATGTGTGGCGGAGTCAGCCATTGGCGTGAAGCTGAATCAGATAAAGTGATGCAAGCCGCTGGCGTATCATGAATCATGAGGAAAAATACCGCGTTTGGAATACCATTGACAAATTCGCCTTGGGCTTTACCCACCTGGATGAGACTGTGGGGTATTAGTAACGTTCACGATACTGAAGGCGGGAAGGAGCTAATCGCTGACCCCGCTACTAACTAATCACGCTCCCAGCTCCACTCGCCGTCGGGCAACTCCGTTATCATTGCGACAGATATTTCGTCGCTCATGTTCATTGCTTTTTTCAAGTCTCAGCTCGAATTTTCAGGAACATGGCCGACAAAGGAGCAGATACGTACATGATGTGGGTGGAGGGCAAGGAAGTAGAAGGTGGAGCAAAGCAGTCCGTTACTTAGCGAGGCACAAAGTGAAGACTGATCATAATCGCTAACAGCACCACAGGCTACCCATTGAAGATCCAGCCACTGGCGAGATCTTTGCCCACTGCCATGCGGCATCTGCAGCCGATGTTGACAATGTTGTCAAGACTGCTCATCGAGTCTTCAAATCTGGAGTGTGGTCGAAAGCCCCGCGTCATGTTCGCGCAGACATTCTAGACCGCATCGCCACACTGCTGACAGAGAACCTTCCGCGATTGATTGAACTGGAAGTCCAGCAAACCGGGCGCGCTATCCGCGAAATGAACGCTCAAGTTCCCACCCTTACCAAATGGTTCAAATACTATGCTGCCCTGATACGGACCGAGGAGCGCTCTGTGTTACCTACCGTTGGTAAACTGCACAACTGGATTGATAGAAAGCCTCTCGGGGTGGTTGCGCAAATTACGCCGTTCAATCATCCAATGCTGATTGCTGTCAAAAAGATAGCGCCCGCACTGGCGGCTGGAAACTGTATCGTCTTGAAACCAAGCGAGCTGACTCCGCTCACAAGCGTCGAGTTGGGAAAGCTTATGAAGGAGGCCGGTTTGCCGGATGGTGTATTCAACGTGTTACCTGGCGATGGTATCACAACAGGCAAAGCTTTAGTCCAGCACCCGTTGATCAAGAAGGTTGATGTGACAGGAGGCACGCCCGCAGGACGCGCCATTGGAGCCATCGCTGGAGGAAACCTTGCACACTATACTGCCGAACTCGGCGGCAAAGCACCTCTAATCATCTTTGAGAAGGCACATTTAGATTTGGCAGTCAACGGCGTAGCATTTGCTAGCTTCATCGCCAGTGGCCAAACATGTGTAGCAGCAACTCGAATAATTGTCCAAAACAGCATTCTCGATGATGTTGTAGCAAAACTCAAGACCAAGGCCCAAAGTATCGAAAAAAGAATGGGGTCACCCAAAAACGTTGAATCGATGATGGGCCCACTCATCTCCAGGAAACAGCTCGCTAACGTCGAGGCGCTGGTCGACGACGCAAAACAAGCCGGAGTTACAGCCGTATTTGGTGGAGAACGCATGAAGGGCGAGTCATCCCTCGACGGCATTGACTTCTCCACCGGCTACTTCTATCCCCCTACCATTCTAACCAATGGAACCTCCACAAAAATCGTCGACACGCGTATATGGAAAGAAGAAGCTTTCGGTCCCGTGATCGTGGTCGTCGGCTTCGATACCGAAGACGAGGCCATCGAACTCGCAAACGACAGTGAATTTGGGCTCGGCGCTGCCATCTGGACACAGGACCTATCACAGGCGTTCCGCGTCTCGGAAAGCATCGAGAGTGGCATTTGCTGGGTCAATACGCATCATCGTAACGACCCGAGTTCGCCCTGGGGCGGCATCAAGAGCTCTGGTGTGGGAAGCGAGAATGGGGTTGATGCGTATAATGCGTATACCACGTCCAAGAGCACGATTATTAATTACGCGACGGCGGAGGAGGGACTGGCGAGCGATGATTGGTTCAGGGAGGGTACGGGTGAGGTGAGGTATGGATAGTTTGGAGACAAGGATTACGCAACTGCGGGATTGATGTATCTATGCTGTAAGCTATACGGTTGGATTTAGTACCCAGAAAGTGTATCTTATTCCTCCACCCGCAATTTCTTGAATAATGCGGAATCTCGCGTGATTACTTGTAACACCGTCATGAGTCACAAAGTTTAGGCAATAACCGAAGCTGACAGTAATAAAAGACACCTGCGCATCATCTAGTAATAGGATCGCCAGTGTGGCATACTGTAGAAGATTTGCGTTGCTATTTCACTTAGGAACTCGAACTTGTGTATTGCTAGCGTAACGACAATCCCTTCATCCCTGCCCACACTAAACTGGACCCTTTACATCTCTCCTCCTCTCAACTCTCATATAACACTAAACCTCGCACTCCGTCGTACAACTCCAACACGCACCTCATCCCCTCCGCATCAACACCCACATCACAAACCTTCCACCGGCCCAAATGCATCAACTCGCCACCCCGCAAGTGCCCCAGCAAAGCAACCAGCGCCCGCGTTTCCCCCTCAAGCACCGCATCGCCTTCTCCACTCTTCACTAATAGCCTAATCCCACACCCAACACTCTCCTCATCTTCCAGTTCAGAATCGCAAACCCAACACCCTCCATCTCCCTCCTCCTCTCTCTTCCCTATCCATTCTACCTCCCGCCCCAGCAACTCAAACGCCGTAGAGCCGATATACGCATCCGCACCGCTCGGCCGTCTGCCTGGTGCTTGTGGTGTGAAGATGATACGGGATACCAGCGGCGCAGACCGCTTCGTTGAGACTAAAATCGGAACTTGAGAGTTTGCGCCCTGGGAGGTTGTGAGTTGGAATCGGGAGCAGCATGTGCGGGAGGAAGCGAAGAGGGAGCGGCGGAGGTGACGTTTGAGGGTTTGGAGGGCGGAGGTGGGGGAGGTAAAGGTGGTGTGGTTGGGAGAGTGGAGGCGGCGTTTTTTGCGCGGAGGTGAGGGGTGTGAAGTTTGGGAGTCGTGGTCGTGGGTGTGCTTTCGTTTTCGAGAATAGAGGTCTTGCTGTAAAAGATGAGGAGTCAGAGTAGTGCTGTTCAGATGGTATGTGGTGTTTGAGATATGAGGGAGAGAGGCCTTTGTGTCTGGTCGGCATGTGCTGCTTTCGTATATTTCTGCATCGTGGTTTTTTTCTGACTGCGTGGCTGTTCCGGGATAGGAAGACACGTAGGTACCCGATTGGCACCCTTTCCTGGCCTGGATATGTGCGAGTAGTGCGTCAATTATTTCGTCTGCGGTGACACCTTTATTCGTTAGTGGAGTAATATCGTAGCCGTCGTCTTTCAGCAGCTTGAGCCGCACGATGTTGCTGGCTTTTTGCTTCCAGCTGAGACGTGACCAATCTCTGTCTAGGCTGTGACCTTCTCGCTCGATTATCTTTTTGGCTTGCGCCTCTCAATCTGATGGGTTCCTTTGCTGTTTGAAAAGAGTTGCGGTGTTGCGTATTATAAGAGATGTGAGCGTGGAAGAATCACTAGCTGATATGATGTTTTCTTCAGTCGGTGTAAGTGACTGCGTAGTATTTGGAGACAAACTACTGTTGGCGGTGTCAGCGGCTGTGCCTCGTTGTTTCTTTTTCATGGCTACTATTGATTCTTTGTCTGGCCTCTGGTAGTTGGTGGTGATGTTTGCTAGGGCCAGGGCTAAGTTCACCTGTTCCAGGCTGAGAGAAGAGCGAGATGTCGATGTTTGTGTTATTGTTGAGGAGGCCTTCTCTACCCTCTCTGTCTTCAGTCTTCTGGGCCGTTCTCCATTCCCACTTTTCGTTCGTCTTTTCGGCAGTGTGAGTATCTTGCGCGAGGGAAGCTTAGTTGTAGGCATCCTGTTTTGAGATGTGTTAGATATTCTCTCCAGTGGAATTATTCCTAAAAACGTCCGGCTTGCTGCTGTACTTTATCTCGCTATTCTTTTGGGCTTTTGAGATTGCTGTCATGTTTACACTTATGAGAGGTTTCGAGAAATGGCGAGATCAATTTTTCTGTAAAAAAATTCCGTGGTGATCAACTGATAACATTGTTGTTTGTATCCTCTAAATCCTAGTGACAGTGGGATCCTAGTCGCGTGACATTGCTGTTGTGCAGTGAAAGCACCGTGGTTGAGATCTGAATGTACCTTCAATAGCAAAAATAGAATGATAATTGGGGACGACAAATTCATTTCTAGAGATATGTCTTCTGTATCAATATGCATTGGCCGTGTCTAGCAGGGTCGTATGTGATATTAGTAGGTGACATGTAAAGGTTACTGCAGGGTTAAGTATTCTTTCACGACAAAGGCTTGAAAAAGCATATATGTTTTTCAAACAAACCAAAGAGGTAATCTTCAAGAAGTCAAAGAATAAGGCAGCTATAGGAATGTAATTGGATAAGAAGATATCATCATGAGCAGCCTTCCGTTTATAAATTATACATTTTCGCCTTTCAAAGCCTTGGAAATGATTGTATAATCATTTTTGTACTTCCATAAACACTACTATTCCCCATCATAACGAAACGCAACGAGGATCTAAGCTGCACTCTCCATATTTCCATCCATGTATTGTCATACTAGCCAAGCTTGGGTATGGCACTCCGATGTCTGTATTCATATGCGCTAGCAGAATACCTTTGAACCATTTCCTTTTGGGCAGTCAATCTCACAGCCATAAACCTTTAAAGAAGGAACCCCAAGGGCCACCAACCCGTCTTCTGAAACCCATCTATAAGCATAAACCGAAGGGATTTATCTTTTCAGTTGCCCGCCACGTACCAGATCTACTCGATAATTGTGCTATTCCCATCTGCAACTAACGTGCTATTCCCATCCGCAACTAATGTTCTGTTCCCGTCGGCAACTAGAGGTTCCATAGCCCTCGCTGTATCCGCAGCCTTAGACGAGACCCCGGACACCCTGTGCGTGTATATTTTGTAGGACCTCCTCTGAAAGTGGCAAACGCGGTAATCCGATTTGAAGCAGATGGTGTTAAGCTCGTAGGCCGCACAGCAGAGACACAAGTACGCAAGGACGAAAAGGGCGGTGAAGGTCTTCATGATTGAAGGTAAAAAATAGTATGCAACCAAGGCTTTAGGAAAGCCGAGAAGGTATTGTTGGTACCGCAAGGATGGTTTGTGGGGTGCTGGGACAGACGAGCACTAAGTTTTGCGGGAAAAGCGAGAAATTTATGTGTGTGATGTTGGTCCCTGTTTATTGATAAAGCTTGGGAGCGCTTATGAAATGATGAACTCATGGTTATCAGTGCTCCATGTAAATTTTGGTTGGCCATACATACATTATGTCAGGGGTAGCTGTAACCGTAGCTGTAGTGGATGAGGGGTCCTTGAGCTTTTTGTCAAAGGTTGAGGGGTATGCAATTGGAACCAAATCCGCCCCTGGACACTGATTCGAATTGAAGCTCGCATTAGTCTGGCAGCACAATCGTTTTTCTCGTGACAGCAGCTTCCATGGCTCACGTAACACTATGGTGGTAGTGTTGGTGGAGCCTTATGCATCACACGCTCTCCACGCGTCGCACCTTCCTTCACCTTCACTCTCTCTGTTCACTTACGTCATTATCGTTCCACAAACTCTCCCACGACATCTCTCATGGGACCAAACCCCCACGCACGTGTTTGCTTGGTGTATCAACACTCCACACTCTTTTCACTGCTATGCTCTTCTATTGAGTGCCATGTCGGTCCATGCTCCAGTCGCCCGTTTGGCGTCACCTGACAGCGCGATTGCTGCACATTAATCTGGTCAAGACAATCACTCACAGCAACAATTCATGACTCAACTTGACGGGAAATCATTACACTTCCGTCAACCCGCTATCCAGATTACTGCGAACCCAAACATGGCGACACCGGGTTATAACAGATATGCGCTGTTCGCCAGCGCCGACGACAATGCAGCTACTACGCGAGCCACACCACCAGACCCAAGCAAGAATCCTTTCTTAAACCAAGTCGCGGATGACTCGATACCATGGGAGAAGGTAAAGAAGCGTGGTGCCCCAGTGACAGCGTCAGTCAGCCGGCCCGTGGCCGCCACCAAACACCGGGCCAAAGCCGCATCTATACAACAACTTCTCAACAATGGACAGAGTAATAACACCCCAATATGTACCCCCGAGGAAAAGCCACATGATCCGCACGAAAACTGGTGTGGCGTCTGCTGCCTCAAACTCCCAAACAAAACAGCCTTACAGAACCACATCAAACAGTCGCCGAACCACCAGAATTACTGCAACCTGTGCAAGCGCGTGTTCAAAGACAGAAATGGCCTGAAGAACCATGTCGACAACTCGCTCGGTCACGAGACGTACTGCAACCTGTGTCTCTCGGCGTTCAAGGACCAGTGGGGCCTCAAGAACCATTTCGAGAACAACTATAGCGTCGGACATGAGTTCGTCTGTCTGACTTGCCTCACAGGATTCAAGACGAGTGCAGAGTTGGAACGCCATCTACAGACGGCCGAGAAGCACACGTGGTGCCAGACGTGTCGGCGCCGCTTCCGTAACCAGGACGAGCGGGATGAGCACTGGGTCAAGACTCTCAGTAAGTAACCTGAATGCTTCGTATATTGCAAGGACCTTTAGAAAATATTCCACTGACATGTTTGCAGGACACAAGCATTGTCTGCAACCCGGCTGTGACTTTGACGGTTCAGATCAAGCCTCCCTCACCGAACATCTTAGGCGCGACCACTTCCAATGCCAAGGATGCAAACGCATACTGCCGAGCCTGACCAAGCTCAACCAGCACTACGAGACCTGTCTCTTCGCATTGTCTTGTCCACAATGCGGCGAAAAGTGCGCAGGAAAATCCCAGTTGGAACTTCACATGACGCACTGTTTTCGATGTGAAGAGTGTGACTTTCACACGAGCCACAAGGGCAACTTTGACATTGTAAGCGAAAACATCGCATCGACTGGTCATGTAAAGAATACAGCACTAACATCAAGGAAGCACATGACGAAGCATAGCTCCGCCGACCTGGTATGCTGGGGCTGCGACGCCCCCATGCGCAAATACTCCAGCCTAATCAACCACCTCGAATCCGGCAATTGCCCCAAGTTGGGCGAAGCCACGCCCCTGATGCGTTGTCTGGGCATGTGGTGGTACTCGCCGCTCTACATGGATCTCGATTTGCATGCGCACATTCGGACTGGTCGGGTGGACATTCACAAGGTGTGCGAGTGGATGAGTGAGGGCGGATTACATCCTTTTCTTTGCCGCGACAAGGATTGCGGCAAGACCTTTAGTCAACTCAGTTCACTGCTGTTGCATTGTGAGAGTACGGCTTGTGGGTGGGATGTTGATCGGCTGAACATGCCTGGACTTGAGAAGGAGTTCAAACAATGGTGTTTGAGGAGGGACAGCGGCGCTTGCTAACTGTAGGTCTCGCCGTAGACCATTGATTGGGGCTTCATGTAAGGGAGTCATGGCATGAGGAATGAATGTGTTCTATTATCCTACAAGGAAGATGTACTTGTGAGGTGACACTCGGGTCAGAGGTAGTCTGCGTGATTCGGCTCATTGAGAAATGCTTCTATTAAAAGCCGAGTAATCTATTAAAGTTCAACCGCGGATTGTAACTATATCAAGGATTCGCCAGCGCTAAACATGCATCAACCGCAAGACCAACCCTAATCGTAGTCAGTAAGAATGCATCTCGTAGTGTCGAAAATTCGCATTGCGAGCTCTTCAACTTACCGTCCTTCCTTCTGCCGCACAACATCATCAATAACATCCTTGTCCAGCTGCGGAAACATATTTGTCAACGTCTCGACAACAACTTGGTGCTCCCTCCGCTGAATCCGACGTATCTCTTCTGCCTCTGCAGATGCGCGTTTCGCCGCCGCCTCTTCGGCCGAGGCCTTCTCCCTGTGCCGATTTTCCTCGTGATTTTGTTCGTGTTCAGGAGCTTCTGCCCTTGAACGCGTGGGCAATTGCTGCTGCTGCTTTGACGGCGTGGTTTGCCCAGACGACTGGTGGGTATCACTGTCGGAGAAGATACGCCCGATTGTGCTGAGTGGGCGCTGTATAGTGCGCAGCAAGCCTGCTACGGCTGCATTCTCTTCCTCGGGCTGCTCAGCTTCGGACTGATTGTTCTTGACGCTCGTCGAGCGGCGTGGCCCTGCAGTTTCAGCCTCCATTGAATTTCTCTGAGTGAGTTCGGGCCGCAAGGGTGTCGTCTTTTCTTGTATGTGGTGGTAGTGTGGCGAGGGCATGCGCTTATGGGTAGGGGCATTAGGGTGTAACTGGGTAGAAGCAGATGACGGCTCGGCTTCTTCAGCCGCATGGCGCTCAGCAATGGCCGACACTGCTGCTTCGACATTCTTCTCAAACTCTTCGTCGCTGACTGTTAGTGAAGTCTTGTCTAAACCTTCGATAAACTGTACGGCGCCCATTAACGACGAGATGTAGTAGCCTGCTTCGCCACCCAACTTCTCCTGGTTGCGGAACCGGAGGATGTATTGTACATTTGAGACAAGATGCTCTGGGTTGGCCTGCAGCACAGTGTAGATGAGCAGCGGTATAAATGCATCGGCAGACTGGTCTGAATTTGATGTCCGTAGAAAGCCAAAGATGACTTTACAGCAATTCAGAATGCAGATAATTTTGTCTCTTGGTGCCCGGTAGCTTTTAATCTTCAGTAGCTCTTGTTGGGCCAGGTGAAGGAATTTCTTCCCCTTTTCGCCAATTGGCTTGATGTCTAAATGCTCTTCTTTGACCCACTTGTAGATGCGAACTTTCTGTGCAAGGATCTCGTCGCGTTCCACGTCTTCTTGGTGCTGACCCCTCCTGCCGGGTCTTGCCGGATCATGTCTTCTTCCGCCTTTACGCGGCGATATTGGCTCTGCTGGTGGAATTGCGGGAGAAAAGGTCTGGGTATATAGCCTGTTCATGACTAGCTTCTCCATGCCTTCTCTTGCGTTATCAAACTCGGCGTCTGATACGGTTCGCCATACTTCGCACTGAGCCATCTTCTTTGCTATAAATTCAAGAAAGTCGCCAATGATCTTGACCTGCTCATGCACCATCCATTGCTTCTTGCCAAATTCTAGAAGGAAAGACCGAAGGAACTTGGCCACCGGGTCTGCTGTTCGGTGACGCAGTTGCTCAAGGAATCGGTGGAAGTCAAATGGTAGATCGGGCTCTGGCTCCGGGGCCGGTTGTACGGGTTTGTATTTGGAGGCATGTGCGCTAGGAGATGATGGTTCTTGGAAAGATGTGTTGGTACCAACGCGGTATAAGGATGAGGTTCGCGGGGGTGGAGACTGTATAGGCGCTCCGGAAGCGGCATCTTCCGTCATGGGTATAGGAAGGGGCTTGTCGGGAGGAACGAGGCTCGAGCGGCGTGGAGGAAAGGCTGAAGGCGGCGATTCGAGAAGGGGATTGGCAATCTCAAGGCGTGGTGACATGATCTCGTCCTCCCCCGGCGCTGCATTACCCTGGAACTGGTCCATGATGCTCTGGATCTCTGGCTGAGAGTTATCGGCAGCGTCCCCAGTGCCGTCGTTTGCTGTACCATATTCGTCAGCGGCAGCATCTTCCGAGTTGCCCCCACTTGAGCGTGCCTGTGACATGGGGGATGCAGCCCGGCTGGGCACGTTACTCGTCGAAAGATACCTGTCGTCCTTTGGAGGCGGGGGCGGGGGCGAGGGCGAGCGTACGGGGGCCTTTCCTGCAGCCTTCTCGGTCGGCTCGCTGGGTGGAGGTGTTGAGCGGCCAGCAGCGGGCAAGTCGTGTGAGGTGGTTGCAAGCTCGTCGACGTGGTGGGCAGAGGATGGCTGTGCGGCTTCGAGCGCCTTTTCCTGTGCTTGGTGCGAGCCTGCCGCTATTGGCTCCGGCTCGGTCTCTGTGGATACAGCGTGTTTCTTATCCTGCGCGTCTACCGTGTCCGCCTTGGCCTCGTTGCTGGCCACTGACCCCTCGTCCAGAGCACCAACAGGCTGCCCCGCCTCGCTCGTCGTGGTTGCGCTGTCATGGTCGTGCTTGGGAAGAGAGACGTGGCCTTGGGGGAGGGGCTCCTGGGGTGCTTCGGTGGCTACATGGTGCGGATCCTCGACCGTGTCTAACTGGTCGTTGGTGGTGATGATGTCGTGGGTTGCATCAAGTTGCGGAGTTGGGTTCGGGAGAGACATAGACCGACTGCGGATAAGGAACGTGAAAGAAAAGAAAGGTGCAGAATGGCCGGTCAAGCTTCCATGGACAGTCAGCAGCGCTTCATACAGCTCGAACAGCGTCAAAGTCGGTCGGCTGCCTTTGCGGTCGAGACGTGCTTCGCCCAAGACCGCGAGCTGCCCGCATGGATGGTCTCCCGGCATCTAGAAGCCGAATCGCCGAACTACCTCCGTTTGTTATCAACGCCTTCAGATGCGTCACATCTCAAAACTCTATCGCAACCTCACCATCCCTCTCGCCCCGCCGCCCTGCCATGTGCGGCATCTTCTTCTCCCTAAGCCGGGTTGGCCATGTGACGCCCACTGCCAGTACCGAGCTGCTTCTCCAGCACAGAGGGCCAGATGCCACTGGACAGCATCGCGTTGCCATCGAGTTAGACTCTGCATGCGCTGTACAAGACGCAGGCCCAACGCGGGTGCACGCCACATTTCTATCAACAGTACTTGCTTTGCGCGGCAAGGAAATTGTTCAGCAACCTCTCAAGGACGCAGCTACGGATTCAGTGCTCTGCTGGAATGGCGAGGCCTGGAGCATCTCTGGCCAAGCTGTCAATGGCAACGACTCCCAACTCGTCTTTGCTAGACTTTTAGAGGCATGCGCCAATGAAGGTATAACCTCTACGCGCAACGTCGTTGAACTGCTTTCAGCTGTGCGTGGTCCGTATGCATTCGTCTTCTATGATGCACCAAACAAACGCGTCTACTATGGTCGCGACTGCCTCGGACGGCGATCGCTACTTCGCAAAGACGCTGCCGACGGTACCATTGTCTTGTCCAGTGTTTCTGACAATAGGTCTGGTGAGGTTTGGGCTGAAGTCGATGCCGACGGCATACACGTCGTCGACTTGTTGGATGTAGATACTGCATATCCATTATTTTCTGATCAACGGATACCCCACCGTCGTTTCGACCAAGATCAGGACTCTGAAATATCTTTCGTAGGTAAGTGGCCCTATCCATGGGTTCTGCTAACACCCGTAGACTCTACCCTTTCCTCTAATGAACTGCTCCACCTCGGACAAAGCTGTCCTAGACTTCAGTATGGTAGACCAACTGAGGACGTCTTTACTCCGATCTCTCCAAGTTCGCATAGAACATGTCCGTGAAGCAGTAACCGGCATGGACATGGATGTGCCAAATCACGCCAGAGTTGCAATCTTATTCTCAGGCGGCCTTGACTGCACCATTCTTGCACGCTTGTGCCACAATCTCTTGCCACCAGGCGCACCTATTGATCTTCTGAATGTTGCTTTCGAGAACCCCCGCATTCACTCTCAGCTTGAGGCCGGCATCAGCCCATATGAGCTTTGTCCTGATCGCATTACTGGAAGATCATCGCATGCCGAGCTTGTTGACGTCTGCCCAGGTCGCACATGGCGGTTCGTCGCAGTCAACGTGCCTTACTCTGAGACGCAGGCACATCGTCTCAATGTCATGACACTGATGCACCCTCACAACACCGAGATGGATCTTTCTATATCATTCGCCCTCTATTTCGCTTCACGTGGTAGTGGGGTAGTCTGTGCCTCAGATAAGGGCAAGACTGAGCCGTACATAACCACTGCGCATGTTCTTCTTTCAGGCCTGGGTGCTGATGAGCTTTTTGGAGGCTATCAACGACACGATTTAGCCTTTGCCCGTCGTGGTTATCCTGGCCTTGTTGAGGAGCTAGAACTTGACTTTAGTCGATTGGGAAAACGAAATCTAGGCCGAGATGATCGTGTCATCAGTGACAGCGGCAAAGAAGTTCGATTTCCGTATCTCGATGAGGATTTCATCGCATTGGCGCTCCGTCTTCCAGTGACTGCTAAGTGTGATTTTGGGCTGGCCCAAGAGGCTGATAGTGAGGATCCAATGCGGGGCCTTGAACCCGCAAAGCGAGCTCTTCGGTTGCTAGCATGGCAGTCAGGTATGAAGAAAGTGGCTTCCGAAAAGAAGCGTGCAATTCAGTTCGGTGCCCGCACCGCAAAGATGGAGACGGGCAAAACAAAAGGCACGCATGTGCTCAGCAAATGAGGTTAGTCACTTGTTTCCTTCGTCCCTTTCCCTCGCAATGATTACAAAACGAACAAACGGTGAGACACCAGCGTGTTTCCTCGGGCCAGTGCTACTCAATCTATGGTGCCAGCCTACGCGCGCTTTGGAGTCGCTGATGTCTAATGTTAAAAGGCAAGTCTGAGCCATATGCACAATATCATTTCACGATTCATGCTTGGTCACACTCGTACTGATAAGTCATAGATGATAGCATATAGATGACTATTATGTTCCCTTCGAGTCAACACTTTCTGCAACCGAACATTGCAATGTCGCCATCAATCAAAGCTCGGTTCTTGCTTAGAAATACATGCTCTAATGCCCCATGTGATCCATAATGCAGTAGTTTGCACATAAGAATTTCCGGTTATACTGATTGGTACCCAGCGGCTTCTACCAGTAGGACTAATTGAATATTATTTGAACATCCACAGGGTGTCTCGACATCAGCGGTCACTAGCGGGTAAGTATAAACTTGTTATAGCAAACACAAACCACCTATTAGCGCATTACCATTACCAGAGATGCATCATAGGAGAAGCGCGCCAAGAGCTAACCCTAGAAGCAAAGTACGGCACAGATACAAGAAGTGGGAAGTGCAGGAACATTGTTATCCGGCAACCAAACTATGGACAGCAACCCACTCCCTCAACCAAGGGTCTATGTAGCCTATTCATCATCACTCGACCAGATTGTCCGGCTCCCAACGCGAGTATAAATCCGGCTTTCCCTCCTGCCTATGCATCATTCCTCAAGGCGCCTTAAAAGTACTCGATTTCCAGACCAATGATGAGAATTTGTCGCTGATAACTATCACGCTGACAGGCCAAGCTGAGGTCCGCAACAATGAAAAGTAGCCTGTCAAGAATGAAGGGGGGAGAAAGCCGTAACAAGGGACCCGACCGATGATGAGAGTCTGTCGCTGATAAATGTCAAGCTGACAAGTTAACCTGAGGTGTGCGACGATAAGAGGTAGCCTGCCAAGGATGAAGGAAGGGGGCCTGCAAAGATTGCGCGTGTTAGCGAAAGCTAAGCAGGGCGTCTTTTATGGTCTGGGGTGTATCCTCTTCTCCGGCCGCGACCTCAGATCGTACTCAATTTCCCCCCTTCCCACCTGCCTTTGAATGTATGAGGGACCTGCGCCATGCTATTGCAAGCAAAGCTTGGACACGTTGGTTCGGAGATGGGTAGCTGTGCGAGGCAGATATTGAACGTGAAAGTGGAGGTGGATCATGCGAGACACAAAGGCCATAGACCTGATGGAGAGGTGGTGATCGTGCATTGAAAGTCAAAGAAAAGAAAAGCGTTGATGGTTGGAGAGACGGAGTGCATGAGACGAAAGCAGGCATTATATATCAGGGAGCTTGTCACCAATGCCTCCTTCTATGCATTGGTGTTCTTGCTACCTTGCTCTTCTCCCTTCTCGTTATTCTTGCCTCCTTGCGAGGACCTCTTAGCTATTTGAGAAGGTTTGCGCTTGCGATATGCAACAAGAGGTAGTGAGCTATGAGGCTTGGATACTAGTAACGTTGGTTGTATGGAAAGCGGTATCTGTGGAACTGGGAGGTCGCGGGTGTTACAGCAGGAAGGGGTGGTTTTGGTATATACGAATTTTTGCATTGCAACAGTACAGTTTCTAGGACTTTCTGGCATGTCGTGTCTGGATATGATTAGATTTGATGTAGTGTAGATACAAGATAGAATATTAAAAAATCAGTTCAGGGTTAATTCGGGATAGAGTTATCTTGGTGATTCCTTGTCAAAGTGTACTTTTAACTACTATTTTCTGAGGTTTGTTGTTGAACGCTGTCTTCACTCATTCTCTGAGTGCACTCGGTGTGTTTGGACATATTACAAGGACTTTTGCTCCTGGCGTTCATGATTGTGAGGTGTTCTCAAATCTCAAGTAGTACCTTTCCGTTCTCTGGACTTTTAGAACCTCGATCCTACAGTGTATCGTTCAAGTGGTGCTTGGATCACTTTGAAGGTATTACTACTCTGCAAATTCGGACTATTTCCGAAGAAACTTAATCTTCAGCAGGTCATGATGATGCTATGCTGTTGCAAGTTATGCAGCTATGGTTGAAAGAACCTGCACATTCGTAGCCGAGTGACCCTTAAGCCACCACTGTACAGCACGCTCTGTAACGGTGATAATTATTCCGAAATCACAAGTCAAACATATTCCATATTGAAGGAATGATGCCATTATCTTATGTGTTGTGGTGTCACGAAACATTCAAGGAAGAGAGGTGGGCTGCCAAGAAAAATATGGCGCGGGACTTGCCGCGCCCGCTCCACAGCGGCGCGATGCATGCTGCACCCCACGCGTCGCGAATCTCTGCAATAACTCAACACCAACCAATTATGGCAATGCATCGAGAAACAGACATCTCGGTACCCCCTACGCCAACATGGCCAGCCAGCGATATAAGCATGCCCCAGATAAACGGCAATGAAGATTTCGGGAGCTTGGTAGACGAGTTATGCCAGTCAGTTTGTGAGGTGCAATGTGCCAATGACGCGGTTCTCTAATGGAGCCATAGATTCTTTGAGCACAACATTAAGTTACCGCATGCTTTCGAAGACCTGCGTCGATCGCAGGAAGGTCATGCCGTCAAGGTTCTCGTCCAACACCTTTCTGACCGAGTCGAGCATCCAGCCCTAATTTCGGCCCTGATGTACGTCGAAGCAGCTTTATACTACTGGAGAGAGACGTAGACTACAATACTAGCAAGAAAGCTGACCCAAGTAAGGGCTTTGAAAGGGCACTTTTCGGCCCTGGAGGAAACCAGCGACGAACCGGGGGTCAACGAAGCCCGCGGATACGCATGTGAATATGTTGCATGGCAGTTTTTGACAAATCTGAAGGAAGCAGAAATTATAGAGTACCTTTTGGTTGAACTACCTCCTGCATCAGCCTCGAATAGCCCGGAAACAGCGGGTGGCCAGCAAGATCGCCAGAACGGAGCTGGCAGTTCGGGCCCAAATGAGCGCTCGCCTCTTCTGCCGACTTCGAATGGTGATTACTTTAACCACAATGGTTCCGCCCTGACCCGGTTTGGGTCGATGATGTCGCAATGTGAAAATCTCAGTGCTCTAGAACTTGCCGCCGTATCCGGTACGTTTTTGAGAGCTTTGTGTGGCCCAGAGACTGAACTAGTATAGGTGCCAAAAAGTTCCTTTCTCAGAAACCGATCCAGAAGATCATAAACGGCTTGTGGAAGGGCGACATCGTCTTCTGGGAGACCCTTAGCTTGCACTCAGAGAAGAAGCCCAGGAGATACAACCGGAAACAAGCCGATCCGTTCTCCCGTCTACGTGTACCCATGTATCTCAAAGTCTTCGAGACATTGTTCTTCGCCGCCTTTTTGGCACTCTATTATGCGGTACTGGTGAGGCGCGACAATACTCGCATCACTGTTCCTGAGCTATTACTCTATGTGTGGATTGCCAGCTTTGCTTATGATGAGTTTGCAGATTGGATCGATGCGGGGCAAACATCATTTTATGCTTCGGACTTTTGGTAACATCCCTATCCATTTGAGTCGATATGGTACTATCTAACCTTAACAGGTGGACGTGGGATATAAGTATAGTGGTTGTTGGCTTTGTATTCTGCGTGATGAGTGCGACCTCCAAACCATATGATGGAGACAAGATCTAAAATCTCTACAGGAGTTGTTGGTTTGGCGACGGGCCATGCTGCGACGATTGATCAGGCATACGATGTACTTGGACTGGAGGCGCTCTTCCTAGTACCACGCATATTCTCCCTGCTGAGTCTCAATCGTTATTTTGGAACTCTGATCCCCTGTCTAAAAGGTTAGCGCACCTTGCTGTGCAAAGTTCGTTTGATCCCGCTAAATTAGATACAGAGATGACAAAGGACTTTGTCAAGTTTTTATCACTAGTTGTTATCTTGTACCTAGGTAAGGAGGCATACTGAACTACAGTGAATGTTAACTCATTATCACTTCTAGGTTTCTTGACTACCTTTGTGTTGCTGGCTCGCGATAGCAGGTTCAATGCGAAACAGATGGTCAGTCTTGCAGACTCTGCTACTTGAACTGCAATATACTTACTTGCCCCACTTAGTGTTGGATCTTAGTCAAAGTGTTCTTTGGGTGAGTGAAGCCATGTTGATACTGTCGTTGTACCTGCTGACCCTTTGTTAGATCGAGCTATCTAGGATTCGGTGAGTTGATACGTCCATGCAGAATCTGCGCAATGGATACACTGCCACCACTATCGATTTACCAATAACTAACACGATCCTGGGCAGATGTTGCTGAAGAGATGTATGCAGTCTCCCAAAAATAAATGTTGACTGTCTGTTAACGGTCCGCAGTTCGCCGTTATTTGGGCCTCCGGTCATGGTAGGGTTATTTATAACATTGTCTTGCCGTATTCTGACTCGTGTATCAGCTAATTTTTGTCACTTTGACAAACATTCTCCTCATCACAAGCTTGATATCGCTTTTAAGTAATTCATTGAGCAAGGTACGTATTATTTTCGTTGGTCGTCGATTCCCCACTCCTAAAGCCGGCATGTTTTATGCACGCCAAGCCGCGATCCACAGTCAACTGCGCCCCCTTCATTTCGAGCCACTCTTCTAGGATGTATGACATGGAGAAGTTCCTTGATTTTTCCCAACCCACTATTTGTTGGGGGGGTATGATACAGCCACACTTGACGTTCAACCCCAGTTTCACGACAACCATGTCCTTGACCTAGACTATGAGGAGCATGGCTATAGTACTGATCCGTGCACTGCGTGATGAATTGCGTACAGAGAACTGACAAATGCTAGGTCTTGGACCATGCCCGAGATGAATACTCGTTTGTGTTCGTCCACCCCAACCATTAACCATTAAAGATGACTAATTTGGACATGGATGCAGTTACTCAGTCTATGTGCTTGAAGCATCAAGCTCAAATAGGCTGACATATTTTCTGCCTCCACTGGTACGTACATTTTGTAATGCTATTATGGGGACGTAAAAGCGGGCATTAAGCGCCGGGCTGCTGAGCGGCCAATTGGCACAGCCACTATGACCAGAGTGGAAGACACATTCATGTCCAACCAACTTTTTGCTTGATCTGCTCGAGGAGTGTCATTGTGTGGGCGCTATGCCGTTGTTGCCCTGCCTGCGAGCCTTGTTCTGCCGCTCAGGCTTTCTCGACACAGCAGCACTGCAAACCCATGTGGGCCCTCGACGAAGCTACTCGCACACTCGGCTTCCCCGTCGCAAGGCTGACCGGCTTCCAGAATCTCATTCCGCTAGTCATCCGGCCGTTGCGGCTCATTTTACCCTCTGAACGACTGAGGAGTGTCCGGATCGTCATGCTCAAGGCGACACATCTGCCCCATGTGCTTGTGATCTGGGCCTTTGAGAAGCTGTGCAATCCTCACAGCGGTAAGGCCAAGATGACGACATTTAGCGGTCCCCAGTCACCTGCGCCGTCCAAAAGAGCCCCTCGGTTGGCTGTGAATTCGCCGCGCTTGCTAATGGCGAGCTTCCCCAATTCTATGGGAAGGGCTCAACACGCAATTCGGCCTCAGACTCGCACGGGGTTGCCGGAATCAGATGCTCAGTTGAGAACACTAGTTGCCAAGTTATCCACCCAGGTAGAAGAACTTACTGCGATGGTGTCGCAGCTCCGGGAGGACCGCGAAGCGAGCACATCGGCCGCGTGAGGGCCGGCGCTTGCAGCCGCGGGAGTAGAGGTAGGCATGTTCAGGACGGGCAGCAAAAAGGATGGTGGGCAAAAAATCAAATAGGATTGCATGTTTTGGGGTGCCGAAGTGTCGTGGAGCAATTGGGCATGAGAATGGGAGGGGGGGGTTGGGGTCTCGCAGTCAGACAAGACTGGGGCCGTGAATGAATGAATGAACGAACGAACGATCAACGGCGGATGCGCGCAGGGCAGGATGGCCAGGATGGACAGTTTCATGGGGGACGCACACGGGCATGGGTACAACCGCCTTCTCCTCTTGCGCCTCAAAGTCTGGTCGGCGCAAGGATTTTGTGTTCGGCCCGCTAAGGTCTAGGTACCCGACGGTGTGGTTCACTCTGGCTACCCCGGTCAAGCCACTGTCGACTGCACGCCCCTGCACACGCACACTCCTTCATAGCCCCATGGACTAACAGGCGCTGCCGCGCAGGCGGCTCGAGCTTTGTTCATGCTGGTCTTGCCTAGCATAACTTGGGAGTCTGCCTAACACTCAAAAGCCCACTGTTTGAACGCATGCTTCGAGAATACACTGGTGGAGCATACAAACCGAAGTCTGATCTTGGATCTGGCAAGGCTGCTCAGCTGCTGCTTCTTACAAATATAACTTATCGTGGTTCAGCCTTCATTCACCTTCTTCATTCAGCTTCCTGCACTCCACTATCTCCTCTATCCACCTTCACTCCTCACTACCTTGGCCCACCTCGAAGACTTTGTACATTGTTTCCCTTTGTTCCTTCTCTGCTCTTTCATCATGATGTACCCAGACCAACCTACGCCGCCATTCAAATCGCCCTACCAACTCCGGGCTCCAGAGACAGGCGCCCTCATGGAATCGCCCTATCCTTCGCCAGGGCGAGGAGAATCGCAGTCCAAGTACCCGCAAGGTCTCGGTCTATACGAAGTTCAGCCTACATTCCCTCCATCACCTCAGCCGTCACCAAACTGGACTAGTCAATTTGCAACCGTTTCTTCACCGGGAGATTTCATTGCCAACCCATATCTCTCGGGGGCTCTCGACCATCCAGTATCTCGCTCGCCCTTGCCCTGGTCATCTGCACAAGTATCTCCTCGTTCGTCTCTGTCATATACACGCGAAATGTCGACATTTTCTCATGATGGCTCAGAGCAAGCGTACCCTAGTGCGGCGAAGGTCGAAACTCCGGGATGGAGCCCACAGGTTCATTTCAGTACAGACAGTCCAGGACAGATGCATGTACATGCAAACTCGAGGCAATCTTCCCTCACAGTAGCACCAGAAAGGCTCAGCGCAGGCATGTATGCGTACGAGAATGCATACCCCTCACCAGTCCTGCTCCGAAGCGAAGCGAATCCCATGTACCACTACAACGACATGGTGTACGAGAGAGCACCGTCAGAGGGAAGCCTGCACAGCCCACAGTCTCGAAAAGCCTGCCCTAGCCTCGCCGTCACAGCCGTACAACGCAGACAAACTCGTAACCGCAGACATACGGATCCAGCTCACGCTGCATACCTGTGCAAGCTTTGTCCTGACAAGGGGTTTGCCAGGAAACACAACCTGACGCAGCATTTGCTCATACACGAGGCAGTGCGCAGAAAAGACCATGTATGCCCTCACGAAGCATGTGGAAAGGAGTTTGTACGCAGGGCAGACTTGGTACGTCACGACGAGTGTGTGCACAAGAAGAGGAAGCCATGGCAGTGCGAGAAGTGCTCTGCTGTGTTTGGCCGCAAAGACACGTTGGCAAGGTAAGGAACATTCCAGCAAGTCTACTTGTCCATGTCACTGACAACTCTCTAGGCATAGGAGCGATGGGTGTTCCCGTCGTACGGAGGTGATAAGTTCCGGAGTCGTCAATTCACATCTGTGAAACACAATCATTTACCCCTTCTTGAGGACCGCATGGCAGATGGCAGCAAGTGTTTTTAATGTTTGGGCTTGGATGACATTGTTTTTCGCTTGATTTTGGCGTGGGTGGACATTTGCATTTTTGGAGTTTTTTTTTTGAGACGCTCGAAAGGACGTGAGAATGGTAGACAGATTGCAGTGACATAGTGAGGGTGCCTGGCTTCAATGCGCATGGGGCCCTCTCGCACGCAGTGCCAATATGATCACATTCAGCCCGACCAAGTAGTGTACAGTGGCAATTGGCCGTAGAAGAGATGTGCTGAGTGTGGCATCATTTGTGTGGGTTCAGGGTAGGTGTGGAAACGCCACCAAGGGCAGTCCCTGGCAACCACACACGCCCCGGCCGGCACGGACTGCCCATAACGTCTTTCTGTACAACCCACCTGAGGCGGGGATGATACGGGGACCATTGCTACCGCACGCCACGAACCGCGGCCCATAGCCAGCAGCCCAAGGCGACATGGATGCGTCTGTTTGTGAAATGGTGCAGGCATGGTGCATAATAAGCGCCCTTCGCTGGGCAAGACGCAGGCGGGCCGCATCTGACTGGCCCACGATGCGCTGCGGCACGGCGACGAGGCTCACGGGCGTACAGAATTAGACGCAGGGTGCTTCGGCTGCGAGGGAGAGGGATATTACATGAGTAGGCCGCTTGTTGGAGGTGCCGTCTGGGGCGGCCTTGACAGCAGTGACAGCGGGCGACCGTGGCTCGCACAGGTGCTGCAGCGCTTTACCATGTCTCACATCGCTCTCGACCCACATGGCATATCAATCCCTGGCAGAGCTGGCTGCAACTTAGCCGTCTGCCCTGCCCTCCCCCCCCCCTCCAAGACTAGCGGGATAGCGTCGCGGCGGGCGCTTAATGTATGGCCGTCTGGGCTCGTCTTATCTGGCTCGAGCCACGTCGGCTGGCTGGAAGGCTGGGAGGGTGCAGGGCCGGGGGTGCGCTAGTCCGCTTGCGGCACGGCACCACAGCCCTTTGCGCTCTCCCACTCACCCACACTCCCACACTCCCACACGCCCCCCCCAGCGACCTCCCCGTTTCGTCTTCCTTGTTTCAACGCGTCTCTGCGTCTAACCCCCTCTTCCGCTTTGCACGAACCCGTCATCGCAACAACGGCCGCCTGCTGCCCGACCCGCCACGCTGGGCCGAGTCACACACGCAGCTGCGCGCGCGCGCTCTCTGGCCCCAGCAGGCCCTCTCGTTCTTCTGCCGCTGGGTAATGGGTGCGTGAGACGATCAACAGCCGCCTCGCCGTATAGTACAGTATAGTATAGTATACGCATCTGCATCTACATTCAGAATGACGGTCCTGCAAAAGAAGGGGCTTCTGGCGTGGACATGACGCTCCCCAAACAATACCCGGCGCCACTCATGTGACGTGCTTCGAATGCGAGTGACGGCACACATTCTTCGGCTGGATGGAGACGCCTCCCAATCTAGGCTAGTTATTGTCCCCTCCATCCCCAAGTATTGAAGCCCGCTGCCCTGCCGCGGAGGATCGTACCTGGACTGGCTCCTCTGCTGCGAGCCAAGCCCATCTCGACTGAGACATTTTACTGCATTGCGTCGCAGTCGGGTCGCTGGATGGGCCACTGTAACATCGGCACATGTTCGCAATGGACTCCAGATTGACTCTAGAGTCGACGAGTATTGATGTGCAGCACTCCCCGCGTATCAATACGAGTGGTGGGTTCCACAGCCTCATTGGACAGCAATACAGCAGGCCAACGGCAACCAAAGGCATACAAGCCTGATTCTGCCTATGCCTGACATCAGCCGTCCTTGCCGGCTTATCGGCTTCCCCCCTCAGGGCCGATGGGTGCCGCCGATGGCAACACCACACGGTATCACGTTCACTCAGTGCATGGCCATTGACGTAGCCTTTCAGCCCCTTCAATATAGAACCAACAGCATCATACCTTGATCTCGAGCCTGCGGTCAAATGGTAAGGAGATTCACGTGCAATCAAAGGAGCCAGTAATCCGCGAAGCGACCAACCATCCCGTGTCTCTTCAAAGAAAGCCGCGGCTGTTGGAAACACTGTGCAGACGAGAATGATGCTGGACCCAACTGTACCGCCCCTCCCCTTTTATCATATTTCTAGCGTCAAGATGCAAGGACCTGTGGTGGTGGTTGTGGCCTGATCAGGTGTCTCTATTCTCAAACCATGAAATTTCGTACAATTTCACCTAGAGGCGTTTCTCAAAGGGTAGCCAAACGTGGTAAGCAGGTACCTGCATTCGCGTCATGGAATGAAACAGCCAAAACGCCCTGCTTCTCGCACGCTGCAAGCCCTCCCCACAGCGGACACCTGCGGAAGGGAAGGAATAGAGGCGTTAGGCCCCCAGATGCACAGTCGCGGTATCCTGGCAAACGATTTGCGTTATTGACAGGGCAGCAAACGGGGCACTGTAGATTTCCGACGTGCATGGACCAAAAGAAGGGTTGGTCAGCTCGATCTCAACCTTCGGGGCTGTTGTGGCGTCGCGTCTTTCCATGTCTCAAAAGGATAGGAGGTGGGTACCCGTACACGATCGTGATGGTACAAATTGACGGACAGGTTGCTGGGACACCGCAAACACGGTGCTGGTAACGCGTCTGACGCAACAGCACGCCATTGCACATCATGTTGTCTTTTCTGCCGCCGTGTTGCGCAAATCACCAGGTACGCGGCGCTACGGCGTTTAAGCAGGCTGCAGTAGCCGCGATGCTTCCGCCACCCGCGCGAGCCGCTGAATCCTTACTAGCGAAGCGCATCGCCGCGCGTGTACCTTCGCGATAGACGCCGCCTCGCTAGAGCCACGTACAACACTGCTAAAACCAACGTCGCCTGACAAATGCTCTGCAGCCGCGCACTTGCGCCGTGGGCGATATCACGAGTTTTTTTTTTCAAGCCCAGATAATCCCACAGCAGGGAGTTATTATAGTGCCATGGCATACATTCACATTGGGTTGACCGGTACAGGCAACAGGGTTGAAGCTGCGTAGAGTCACAGCTACTCATAATTTAGGCGTTCCACCCACTTTTCGGCTTGGGGTTGTTAGTGCCGAGACGATACGTCTAGTGAGGGAATCCACAACAGAGCCTTGCGAAGCTAGCCAAGGAGCCAGCTGGGTTTCCTCCCTTGCGATGCGCGATCCTTTGACTGACGGGGCAGGTCACTAATTACGGTCTTCGCTACCAAAAGTCGGTGACTTTGCAAAGGGACACGTCCAAGTACGTCCGCACGACGCGCTAAGAAAAAAAATGATCACGAAGACGCGGTTTTGGTGTTCCTCCCTAATGATAATGACAATGACGATGATGATGTCGAGTGTGGCTAGTCCCCCAGGCATCAGGACGGAGAATAATGGAGTATGTTCCCGGGTTCGCTTGATGATTATCAGGGTAACGCCCATCACGTCAGCCCGGCCGAGCCAATCGTTCGAATGCCCTAGGGCTGACCCACTATTTACGGACACGGCTGTCGGCTTCCCCGACCAATGATATGATTGAGCGCGCGTATGGACCAGTCTCCAGAAGCAGACGTGGGCCGAGCAGCGTCCGTGTGGAATCACAGACCTTGAGAACATGCAGGAAACCCACCCAAAAATCCGGGAGCTGGGAACGCTTACCGCACTAACCCATTGCAGCGCCTTGGCAAAACACCACCCACGATAGAACAGGAAGGCGGCGAACTGCATCCTCTTCACGGCTAGCTTCTGCCCCCAAGCTGACCTGCACACATTTGCCAGACGAGGCTGTTGCGCGACCTCAATCTGCATTCCTCGGACCAGAGATGCGTTGATGTGTCTATATACATAGTACTATGTATGTACCTGTCGTGTTTGCATGGCCTAGTTTGGCGGGACAAAGACTGGTTCAAGCGCGGTCGGTCCTATTCCCCAGCCTATCGGCAAACGGATGTTTTATTGCTAACGCGCCGAACGACCAAGTTTGACTCTGAACAGGAATTTCGCTGACAACATCCTCGATCGCCTGTCATGACCGGCCTCGGCGTGTTCGCAGCCCGGAGCCTGTCTTCAAACAGACAAAGCTCTTGGCGCTTGATGCCTCTTCAACCAAACTTCGGCACTTTTGCGGTTAACCCGTCAAATACACGTAACGGCGTCGGCATTCAAGCCACTCAGGTCGACCATCACACGGACAAAAAGAAAGTCAAGCTGATGGCGTTACGCCATGAATGCCCCCCGGCCCCCTTTCTCCTGCTAAGATCGCAACGTTGTGGCACGGCCAGATCGGGCCGGTAATTGGCATATCCCGCAACCATCTTGTTTGCTGCAACCCGCTGTTTCCCCGAGATCTTCAGCTTGGTCTTATTACGCGGCGAAAACGCACGATCGTGTCAAGCGACTTTGGTATGAGCGCGGACAGAGCGTAGATGGAGGATGGGCTTTGCGCTCCGCGGGGAGAGAACTAGATCCTCTTCATCTCGCTTGCGGGGAAGCACCCCCCCCCCCCTGATTCCTGACCCGTCATCGTACGAGCTCCCGAAACACAAATAACAAGCAAGACATCAAGGTCCAGCCTGCAATGTATGCCCACATCGCGTGGGTGTACTGCAACCACATACAATGACACACTGTCCACTATACTGGTAGTGACTGCATGGCATGTAACCACCTGTATGTCTATCAAGTCCATAGCTATCACATGTAAGCCCTTGGTCCAGTAGTGTGCCGACGGGCGTATATTCATAAGTCCGGTAAGAGATCGTTTGCACAAAACGTTGATCAGCTCCCCTTTTCTAGCCTATGGGTAATGGCCGCTGACAACAAAGTCACGGCAATCAAGCCCAATACGCTGAATTCAGAAACATGGCCAAACAGGAACGACCGCAAGTTTGTAACAAAAAACTTCATGCGCGGCGCATATCAACAGCCTGGACCCAGAAACTCTTAACACTTCACCTTGCATATAGACATCGTCACCAAGAGTGGAGTATGTTGTCTCTTTG